AGGTTGTGTACATGTTCAATAAGTGGTTCTTCATGTAATGTAATCTGTCGTTATCTGCTCTTATATAACCAATAATTATCTTACTCTGATTTGTTTAATTGTATTCTTTAATTATTTATTTTAGCAGAATAATGCAAGATTGAATATATATTTTTTTCATAATACAACAAATTGTCACCCTTATTTAGTTTTAAATATTTGAGAGTCAATGAATATTCATCACTACGTCTCGTAGTGATGAAAAATCATTGATTTCTCGAAAAAAAAAACATAACTAATATGCATACAAACTATTTTAATGGAAAAACTTGATTAACCATTGAATGTCAGTTTAAGTGAATTCTGACCCGAAGCACAAGGATGTTCATAAGGCTTTAAAACTTGGTATTAATAAAGATAAACAAAATTAATAAAGTTTGACTAGTTTTTGTAGTTATACGTGCTAAACGCAAGATTAATATATTCGCTCCGAGTTTCTGGCAGTGTTTTATGTTGTCGTTAATAAGATATTTTGATATATACTGTTTCATATAGTCTCTCTCTACTTTTTTTTAAAGAAAACAGCCATGACTGAATATTTTACTAGAAAATGTAGAGGGATAAATAAAGATGGATATATTATAACATAAGTACCATACACTGATCAGTGAACATTCAAATACCATCTAGATTATTATTATAATCAAGGGGGAAGCGCTAAACCCGGAGGATTATACAGCGCCTGGGGGGGGGGGATGTGGAAGGCATTCAGGCTTAATTCGGGGAACTGGAGCACAGATCCAATTCCCTAAATCAAGAGCCCCTCACCAACATCAAGGAACCTTCCTTGAGGGGAATATCATCTAGAAAATACAGATCCATCTTGCTCCGTGTTTCATTTTCTGTTCATGGTGGGGGAGTTGCTTGTCTAAATATGTATCATGAATACGTAGATGATAATAGTATAACCCTCCGTACAGACACATGGTAGAATGTGGAAAAGTAGTGTGTCCTGTGTCAGGGACGAGGTACCTCCTGCAACGTGTGGTACCTATCCTCACCATCTCCTGCCCTTCCACACCTGACCACCATGTTCCTCCAAGGTTCCTCAGGCATTGTGTTGTTATGGGACTCCCGCATCCTTCACCTGCCACCTGTGAATACATCATAAAGGTGACTCTAAGGCGTTTTTGTAGTTAAATAAGTTAAAAAGATATGTTCCCCTCCACTCCTCCATAGTTTTTAGAATGTTTGTCAGTGGAATTAAAGATAGTAAAGTATTCTCATTTCTTTACTGTCAAAATGATGAAGATAAGAACAAGGAAGGCCTATCGGCTCATACTAGGCAAGTCTAATACATACTCACCCACACACATATACCTGTCCAACCTATATTTGAAAATTACCCAAAGTTCTCGCCTTATTGTCGCTACCTGGGAGTTTGTTAAGCTTATCTACAACTCTGTTGCCAAATCAATACTTCCCTAATTAATCTTTCTAAATCTAAATTTGTCCAGTTTGAATTCATTGTTGGTTAGATATTTTCAAACGCTATTTATACTTCCTTATTTATTCTGGTTGTTCATTTATATACTTCAATCATATCTTCCCTAATTCTGAGTCTTTACAGAGTATAAATTTCATATATTTTCCAGCGTATTTATATCCAGTCTTTATTATGGAGATAAGAACTGAGTAACATACTCACAATGATGCTTTCCAGAGATAAAGTTGATGGACTTTTATTAATTACAGTTTTTGATACGAAACCAAGAATTCTATCAGCCTTTTTGCGAAAATTTATGTCTTTAATTTCAAATTTCTGCAAACTTGAACTCCTAAATTTTTTATTCATTCACTTTACCTTAGATCTAAATTATTTATCATATAAGTGTCATTGTTTTTTCCTAGGATTAGAACCTTACATTTTTCAGCAATGAACTGCATCTGCCACTTTTCCTACCACAACATCAACCAAGTGCTTCTGTAGTCTTCTAGCGTCCTCATCAGAAATTATTTGATGGCTTATTTTAATGTCATCAGCAAACTTACTTTTGTCGCTATGTAGTTATTCCCTCTATGTCGTTTATAGAGACTGTAACTGGTCTTCATTCTGATTTCTCCCCACTAATGCAAACTCTGTTGACTGTCAGTCAGCTTAGACCCAGGAGATAATTTCTTGTGTTAGGTAAAGGGACATATTGGCTTGACAAAACTCCTGGAGAGTGAAACGTTACCGCAATAAAACGTCTCGTTAGTTGCACATATGCCCTTTTTCCTAACATATTGTCGGTAATTCTGCTAACATTATTATATAATTTAACCTGGGCCATATGCCGCTTAATCAGTCTCCTTGCTTAAGTTCATATACATACTACCGTATCTACTTTCGTCCTGACTTGTATAATTATTGATGTCTGGTGTTTCGTGTGCATCCATTTGTGTAAAATCAGAAAGGAAATAATTGTTAAAATTATACATATTTCTTAGTCATTAACAGTAAGCTGACCAGAGTTACATTTAATCTTATTTAATCTTATTCTAATCTTATCCCTATAAATCGGAATGAAATTCCTTTGGGTTGGTCATTGATTCCCTCGCAACCTTAATTTTAATTTTTTTCCTGGTTATCTTTATTTTTGACCAACGATTCTGCGTGAGTTTGGTTAGCAGAGGCCTAAATACTTCTAGAAATCACTTAATGTAGGGGAGGCCGCCAAGGAAAGTCGCCCCAAAACAGCCATTTTCGCCCACTTTGAGGCCTGTTTTGGGCTAGCCCATAGATTTCAGTAGTTTGTCCGGTTTACGCCTATTGACTGCACAAGAGCCACTAAAGCGGCAGTCCACCTTTACAGTAATATCAGGAATTCATTAATCCCCAATGAATGAAAGTCAACCCAAAGTATATACGTTTAATGATAGGCACCTCTCGGTATATATACTCCTTGTTACAGACGAAAGTTCACATTCTAACTGGTGATCTTGCCCTAACAAATGCAGAATATTAAAAGTACGCCAAATTTTGATAAAAAACTTTACTAACTCACATCCATGTCATAGTTATTTAATTTTCCATAATGTTCGCGCTTTAAACATTTTACTTCAATCAAATAAAATATTTGCGGCAGGTATGTCTTCAGGACGTTCTTGTGGAGATCGACGAAGACAACCATCTTCCAGAGGCTGCACGGGATGTTGTTTTGGATCTTTATCAGAACCTTCAAGCCCCAACGCCGCCCCTCACTCCCATTCACACCTCAAGGCAACCTCCCAATACCGATAAGCACGAGGACGACGAAGCTAGCTCTAACGAAAGGAAGGATGAGTGTCAAGATCGGGAGGCTGCCACTCGTCAAGGCTCCAATATTGCTGATAAAATTCCCATTAACAGTGATCATGCTGTTGTTGGTTTAATGAGCAGCAGTAACAAGACTGTGGATAATAAAGAGAGCAAAAACCATAGAGAGCAGTCGAGTGTTTTAGCTCCTAACCTGCACCATCTGCTACACTTAACAGAGGCACTGAGGAAGAACTCATGCCTTCTGCAGCTAACCATGGGCCAAGCAGCATCCCTCATCACTTTCGAAGCAAGAAGAGTCTTCAGCGGCCTCTTCACTTGCGAGACCATCTTGAAGAGACGAATTTCGGCCATCATCAGGAAGTATTTTGACGAGGTGATACAGCTGAGAAAAAAATTAGTTTTATATAATATTTAATATTAAATACTGTATATTAATACGGTACTTGAATAGTTGTGTTAGGAAGCAAATCTATTTGAATGGCCTTAATTAAATTGTATAAAGAAGAAAGAAAGGTAAGAAAATAACATGATTTGATGTTTAAAGTAATTTCGACTAAGAATAATATAAAATACGTATACATAGGATTAACCAGACTTGAGTCTTGGAAGTAGGAAGGGTAATGCTTGCACTCTTAACAGAGGGAGTAGGAATGTTAAAGTCGGAGGGTCATCTGAATTGTGATGTCAGCACACTTCTGGAAAGACAGCGATAGAATGAATGACGGTGAATATTTTCTTTGAGTCACTCTGCCTTGGCGGAAGGAAGTCGTTGAAGTAAAATATATATATATATATATATATATATATATATATATATATATATATATATATATATATATATATATATATATATATATATATATATATATATATATATGGGATTGTCCTAAAGAGAAAAACAAAAGGTTTTAATTCAAAAGAGAATTGAAGGAATTGCAATCTAACATAAATCTGCAGGGATACTTTGCACATAGCTTGATACCGGTAAGTTAGTTTGATAATGGTCAGGACTGAAGGAGCGGTTATGGATTGAAAATTTGAAGATTACACGGTGTTTAGTGTATTAATAATTTTATATGCAGGTGCTACTGAAGTAGTGAATTAATTTGGTAAAAAGTATAACAAAAATATATTGGAATGCAAACTTATGAATATTATTATTTCTCTAAAAAGTGGAGTCAGTGAATAGTTATATAAATAATGTAGATAAATACTTAAGTTGCTGACAAATGTATTATAAACAAAGACTATTTTAAACATCTAAATAATCACAAGATATGTAATAATTAAAACCATGTTATTTTAATGTTCTTGAAACTGGTGCTCTGTGGCAGGTGGAGGAAGGATTGGTGTGGTGGCCAGGTGTGACGGAAGATGGTAAGAAAATGATGACACACGCCAGGGACTACAACGAAGTCATCAAGAATGTTCAGGTGAGCACACTCTTCAGAATTAATTTAAAGTTAAGAGTTCTAAGTGTTAGTAACCGCAAACTATTTTCAATTAAACCGCAGTTAAGCTTACGGTTATCTTCCCTCCACCTCTATCAATTATGGGAAACTGTAGTCGACCCGATAAAGTGCTCTTGGTCTGATTGCCTTCCATTCTCCAAGGGCTGTATGACCCCCTACGAGTTTAGCACTGCCTCAGAAATACGATAATCTCATGGAGTGGCGCTCACCTCTGTAAGGACGCCTAAGGTTGTTCTGAAAATCCAACTCTTTTTAAGGTTGAACGTCCTACATATCAAATAACACGTATACATTTGAAAAAGACACGTTTGCAGAACTACAGCTTCATCAAATCTTCTCAGAGTGAAACATTGTCCCAATAAAAGCTTGCCCTCTAATGTATATAGTTTCTTTATTCTTGGGCAGTACACCATTTGAATCCATGTAAACTTCATTATTCTCTTAAAGAGTAATCTTGCCATCCTAGGTCTGTGTCTGTGGTATAATTAGAGCGTGTGACAATCCATATTTCTCGCCTCATCACCTTTTTGTTTCAGTACCCTGAAGGACTCCAGCCCATAATGTTCACACGGACACACTTCGACGGGCTCCTGAAGCTAGTGTTAACGATGGAATCCTACAGCATGCATGCCATCATCATCGGTCCACCAGGGGTGGGTAAGATGTCCCTGGCGAAGATGGCTGCTTTCAATACACGCACCAGGTGAGGCAAGTACAAACACATGTATACAACGTCTTCGTCAGAATAACAATTGGCGCCGTCAGATGAATAGTCACGGTCATTTACAACTCTCCTCCAGATAGTATGGAAACATAGGAACGAAGTGAATATACACTGATGTAATAAGGTACTCATGTTGATATACAGTACGTTTTATTTTTTTTAACCTAGACACATGGTGATATTGTATAATATAGGTAATATAAAACAGGCATAAACAGTGAAGAGGCTAAACAATGTTTTACATTAGAATTATTTAGCATTTGGTATCTTAAGACGTTATGCATTGTACATGTTTAGGTATCTAAGTGAGAACATTACTTATTAGAGTAAGTAATTTATGCCATAGATAATTTTTATAAGTATAGGAAGTAAAATAAATTTCTCTTGTGCATTGTATGTTAGTTGTGTTAGAAACACCTATTTAGCAAATACGGAAAAAAAATTAACCCAGAGTTTACGGTAATAAGAGTGAAGCTGGAATAAAGCAGGGATGAATATGAAAAAGTAGAAAGGGAATGTTCAGAGAACAATACTGTAATTAGCATGTATAAATAAATAAACAAAGTATTCGTCTTGTGTGTAATTACCTGCGCAACTAAGACTTAAGTACAATATTGAGAAAAAGGTAAGGTTTGAAAGAAATCTAGTTTTCTTGTTACTCAGGGATGTTCGAAATTAAGGTAAGGAGTGTGAAAGAGAGATTAATAAAAAGGGAAGAAGCAACTTTATAGACCAACAAAAACTCATTAAAAGGCAGACACTAACAGCCTTTATGGAGATTAACAGCAAATACGTAAAAACTAAATATTAAAATAATTTCCTAAATCTGGAAAATATGAATGATAAAAAATATTACCAGCAAATACGTGAAAAGGTTCTTTCAAGGATAAGTGGGTAAACGAAGAGGTTGATAACTGAGGCTTTATGGAAAGTGGTAAAAACAATGTAAATGTGGATATGTTGAAGGTAGACGTTGTGGTGGGTAGAAACATTTTGTGCAGTATATGCAAGACTTTAGGAGCTTGGTGTTGCATTGAGTTTGTTATAGATAAACGTATGTTAGAGTGTATGGGATACATTAATTCCTTGATACAAATGTCTTTATTGCACCAGAGTATACCAGCTGGATGAGCACCGGGAGGAGGCTGGTCGGGTGGCAGGCATCAGAGCAGCAGTGGAAGCCTCAGGGGTAGGGGGACGCCGCACCGTCATCCTTCTGAGGGACCACGCCCTCACCCCCACCATCCTCGATACTGTGTACAGTCTGGCCAATGCTGGTGAGTCAAGCAGGGCGGACCAGCCCTTGATACCTGCAACATTGTGGACGTATTCTCGATTTGATGAGTAAATAGTTCGCTTTTACACACGAATTATGTAAAATATTCTATACTTCATGTTCGTACAGTAGTCGCATCAGATGCCTGCGTAGCTGAACAAATATGAAAAACAATAGGGCCAAGAGTTATAGTAGTTAATCTTATAAACTCGGATAGGTAATCATATAAACACGGCCTAGTCCTTGTGTCTCGTTGGTCGAGGCTTAGGTGTAGTGATAGGATAATCTGTCATGAAAAGTGACGAAAGGGGAAATTTAATATACAGTGTACTTGTGGAAAATTACATTTATCTGAATGTATCATTATGTACATAACAGTAAATGAACAAAGATAATTATTATTTATCAGTTAGACAAGTAGGAATTTGGGACACCTAGGTCACAAAAAATGTCCCCCTTCGATACCTACAACTGTCATATCCACAAGTTGCTCTAGACTTATTAATTACAAATGAAAGATGCATCAACAAGAATTCTGGTAAATAAAATTTGGTGGACTATATTAAATTAATAAAGAATTATATATATACACATTTACATAACAGAAGGAGAATATATCTTAATATCACTCACCAATCTGACTGGAGATTAAGGTGTATCATACTCAGAAAACTTCACTGTCTATACATGAAAATTATTATTATTATTATAATCAAGGGGGAAGCGCTAAACCAGGAGGATTATACAGCATATATACATGAAAATAACACTGGCCAGAGTTAAACATTAATAGACTTATCTGAGGTTCCTGGAGCTGTCTTGTCCAGTCGCCTGATATCTCAAGTTATGCAGGAATGCATATCCAACAATTTCGCCTCCTATTTGAGAGGTGTCAGCCCAATTTTACCTCTAGAGCACGAAAATTCTTCCCAATATTCACAACGTTTGTATCCAATTCAAAAAACAATGGCGAGTCCCTTCTGCGCAGGCGCAGCTTCCCATTTTCGATAACAATTTTTATTAAATACAGTATGGCAATCTATATACATATAACTACTGTATTTCTGGAAAATATATACAGTATTTTCCACAGTACTTATGTTATAACCATTCAACTCATATTTAGTGTTATTGGCAGTATGAGTAGTACATTAGGCTATTTCAGAATATTGACAATTGTATTTTACTATGAATCTGTTTTGACAACTGGCTTCCCTGGTTCATTATGGACTTTCTTAATTGAGTGAATGACATCACTTTATTGCGTAAAACTATGAGAAATGAGTGTGTATTGTATTAAATAAAAATTCTTGTCAAATCATTACCCTTTAAGGAGGTGCCTTGATGCTGGTGAGGAGCTCTTGATGGTAGGGAATAGACCATGCCTTCTCTTCCTTGGATCAAACCTAATTGACTTCCATTCTTTATATGATTCCTATGGGTTTAGCAGTTTTTTCCTGATAATAATCTTCAGATCATTAATTATAAAATGTTACTCTAAATTTCCTATATTGGTTAAAAATTGTCACTTACCGTAATTCATTACAATGATAGTTTACTAGTGGAAGTACTAGGTTATATATGACTGGTCTGAAATGAGCTGAGAAAAGATACCGGCTCTTAGCCTGTAAATTTAACTGTGTAAAAAACTCTGTATACTACAATTTTCATGTTGCACACAAGCCACAAACCATCAGGTTGGAGTGAAGGATTGTGGGGGCCTCTTAGGGTGCGTGGTTTGCTGGAAGCCATCAGGCAAAGAGGCAAGAGTCCCAAAACGCAGGAGAACCGCTGGATGACCTACCTGGAGGAGGAGGAACTGGCCACGCTCAAGCACAGATTCATTACAAATGTTAAGAGGAATCTTCACGTGTGCCTAATCACACACTCGTACCAGGTAAGCTAAACCAAGTTCTTTAATCAGCGTAAACTTGTAGTGATAGCTGAAAATATTATTTATGGATACAAGGCGTAAACGAAAGTTACCTCAAATATTTATGGCAGACGTTTATGACAAATTATATATATATATATATATATATATATATATATATATATATATATATAATATATATATATATATATAAAATATATATATATATTGCAGAAAATACATAATATTGTCTTAGGCTATATTCATAACCTACGATATATTTATTAATGAAAAAATATATTTTTTGACTTAGGTTACATTATTAATGACCAAGAACATATATTTATGACAATATATATATTTATATATTTATGAAATATATAAAAGTAAGTTTCAGATATATGTTACATAGTTCTTATGAACCAAAGTGAAGTTTGGCGCGAGTTAAAAAGCGAAGTTGCTCACTGTGTGGTGTGATCAGGTGAGTGAGGAATGGTGTACGCGGTACCCATCACTGAGGAGCAGGTGGACCTGGGTGAAGATGGGCACCTGGGACACAGAGACGCTACAGGAGATTGCCAGAAGGACTCTCCTAACAGCAGATCTCCAGCCGCACGTCCTATATCAACTGCAGGTGGCGCTCCCCAGCATCCACCAGGTGAAGTTCCAACCCTGCCAGAGGACGTATTTGTTAATGACAAAGATTGGTCCAAGGTGCGTGAGGCATTAGGTAGAATTAAAGGGGGTAAAGCAGCTGGAACTGATGGGATCGCGACAGAAATGTTAAAAACAGAGGAGGGGGGCATATAGTTTTGGAGTGGTTGGTAATTTTGTTAATAAATGTTTGAGTTATAGGGTTGGAGTGGTTCGTATTTTTTGTTTAATAAATGTATGAAAGAGGGAAAGGTACCTAGGGATTGGCAGAGAGCGTGTATAATTCCTTTATATAAGGGAAAGGGGGACAAAAGAGATTGCAAAAACTATGGTGGGGGGAATAAGTTTACTGAGTATACCAGGTAAAGTGTATGGTAGGGGTTGGATTAGTGGTAAGACAGGGAGTAGGACTGCAGATAAACAAGGAGGCTTTATAATGGGTAGGGGATGTGTAGATCAAGTGTTTACATTGAAGCATATATGTGAACAATATTTAGATAAAGGTAGGGAAGGTATCATTGCATTTATGGATTTAGAAAAGGGATATGACATGATAGAAAGGGGAGCAATGTGGCAGATGTTGCAAGTGTATGGAATAGGTAGTAAATTACTAAATGTTGTAAAGAGTTTTTATGAGGATAATGAGGCTCAGGTTAGGATGTGTAGGAGAGAGGGAGATTACTTTTCAGTAAAAGTAGGCCTTAGACAAAAATGTGTAATGTCACCATGGTTTAACATATTTATAGATGGAGTTGTACAAGGCGTATATCCTAAGGAAGCCCGGCTAGCTCAGTCGGTAGAGCACGAGACTCTTAATCTCGGGGTCGTGGGTTCGAGCCCCACGTTGGGCGATGTTTTTTACGGTGCCCCGTGGCCTGATGGCGAAAGCTCTTGCTTTACACGCTGAGGATCCTAGTTCAATTCCTGGCGAGGGTTGAAACATTGGGCGTGTTTCCTTACACCGGTTGTCTATGTTCACCCATCAATAAAATGGGTACCTGAGTGCTAGTCAACTGGTATGGGTCGCACCCTGGGGACAAAATTGACATAATTTGCCCGAAATGCTCTGCATAACAAGCGGCTTTCTATATAGTAGTATGTCATTGATGTCAGCTAGGACTGTATACCTTGTACATGTACTTGCAGAAATAAAGATATTATTATTATTATTATTATTATTATTATTATTATTATTATTATTATTATCATGGGGGTGTTGGAGAGAAGGGTGTGATTAAAATATGGGGAATCAAATAAAAATGGTAGTCGTCACGGTTACCTTTTGCTGATCATACTGTGCTTATGGGAGATCCTAAAGAAAAGTTGCAAACGTTAGTGGACGAGTTTGGGAGTGTGTGTAAAGGTAGAAAGTTGAAAGTGAACATAGATAAGAGTAAGGTGATGAGGGTATCAAATGATTTAGATAAAGAAAAATTGGATATCACATTAGAGAGAAGGAGTATGGAAGAAGTGAATGTTTTCAGATATTTGGGAATTGACGTGTCAGCGAATGGGTTTATGAAGGATGAGGTTAACCATAGAATTGATGAAGAAAAAAAGGTGAGTGGTGCATTGAGGTATATGGGTAGACAAAAAACGTTATCAATGGAGGCAAAGAAGAAATTGTATGAAAGTATAGTAGTACCAACACTCTTATACGGGTGTGAAGCTTGGGTTGTAAATGCTGCAGCCCTGGGGCGGTTGGAGGCAGTGATGTCCTGTCTAAGGGCAATGTGTGGCGTAAATATTATGCAGAGAATTCGGAGTGTGGAAATTAGGAGAAGGTGTGGAGTTAATAAAAGTATTAGTCAGAGGGCTGAAGAGGGGTTGTTGAGGTGGTTTGGTCATTTAGAGAGAATGGATCAAAGTCGAATGACTTGGAGAGCGTATAAATCTGTAGGGGAAGGAAGGCGGGGTAGAGGTCGTCCTCGAAAAGGCTGGAGAAAGGAGGTTTTGTGGGCGATTGGCTTTGACTTCTAGCAAGCGTGCGTGAGTGTGTTAGATAGGAGTGAATGGAGACGAATGGTATTTGGGACCTGACAAGCTGTTAGAGTGTGAGTAGGGTAATATTTAGTGAAGGGATTCAGGGAAACCGGTTATTTTTATATAGCCGGACTTGAGTGCTGGACATGGGAAGTACAATGCCTTTACTTTAATGGAGGGGTTTGTAATATTGGCAGTTTGGAGGGATATGTTATATATTCTTTTAAACTGTTGTATCTGGGCGCCTCTGCAAAGACAGTGATTATGTGTGAGGTGAAAGTGTTGAATAATGACGAAAACATTTTCTTTCTTTTTAGGTCACCCTGCCTCAGTGGGAGACGGCCAACTTGTTGGAAATATATATATATATATATATATATATATATATATATATATATATATATATATATATATATATATATATATATATATATATATATGTCGTGCCGAATATGTAAAACTGGTCAATTAGCAAGAACTCATTTAAAATTAAGTCCTTTCTGAAATTTTCTTTTATATGTTTAAAGATATATTTTTTTCTTTAATGTTAATGTAAAAATTTTTTATTTATCACCAAAAGAATCTTAGAAAACCTACCTAACCTTTTTATAACAAGAACAATTTATTTTAGCCTAACCCAACTAAATATATTTTAGATTTGTTTACAGTAATTTAAAACTAAACAAGCACAGTGAAATATATTTTTTTCGTTAGGTTCAGAAGGATTTGGGCGAAATTATTGCATACACAAATTTTCACTTGCCCTATATGGCAAGATGAACGTTGCTATATAAGCCAAGATCCCAAGTTCTGCCTATTCGGCACGACATATATATATATATATATATATATATATATATATATATATATATATATATATATATAATATATATATATATATATATATATATATATATATATATATATATATATATATATATATATATATATATATATATATATATATATATATATATATATATATATATATGCAATAAGATCACAGTAAACAGGTGATTTCAGCTAATGATTTGAAATACCCAAGAAACGTAATTGATAAGCCTTTTAAAATTGCTACAAATGCTTTTTACAATCTAAAAAGGGACAACCGGCCTTATTCAACTAAAAATATGTTGGTTCTCCCTTACCATGAAAACTTGGTTGATATGCCTTCTCTTCTTAAGACTTTTAATATCAAAGTTGTATTTAAAAATCTTGATACAGTAAAAAAAACTTTTGATAAAGAATTCCCCCCAAAATGCTGACGGACGTGTCTATAAGATTTCTTGTAAAATTTGCTATAAAGTTTATTACGGTCAAACTGGTAAAAATCTCGAACCAAGATTAAAACAACATAAATATAGCATTAGAACTGGACAAGATTCCAATGCTCTATTTATTCATGTGAGAGATTTTAACCATCCAATTGATTTCTAAAAAGTTGAGAAAGTTGTATCAAGCAAGTCCATGGTCGACAGGTATATAATTGAATCTTGTTTCATAAAAAGCAGTTTTGACAATAATATGAATATTTCGTTTGGTTTATATAAATTAGATTCATTTATAATTAATAGAATTTGGGAAGAATTTAATAATACATTGGACAAATAATAAATTTTAAAATTCTTAATTCTTGGGTAGAATAGTTTGTGGGTTGTGTGAAGGACCTGTCTAGTTGGGCCAGTGGGCCTGCTGCAGTGTTCCCTTTCTTATGAGTAGCGCGTCAGGTGTTGCTTTGTTGTGGGATGTGATAGTGAGATGTGGTCTAGACCCTTTATATGCCTTCCTTTGATGCATTACTTTTATTGTTCCTTGATAATGTGAGTAGTCACAAAAGCGCTTGGAATTTCTCTATTCTTTCACAGTGGTTGTTTTGCATATATATATATATATATATATATATATATATATATATATATATATATATATATATATATATATATATATATATATATATATATATATATATATATATATATATGGAGTGTGAGCAGGGTAATATTTAGTGAAGGGATTCAGGGAAACCGGTTATTTTCTTATAGTCGGACTTGAGTCCTGGAAATGGGAAGTACAATGCCTGCACTTTAAAGGAGGGGTTTGGGATATAGGCAGTTTGGAGGGATATGTTGTGTATCTTTATACGTATATGCTTCTAAACTGTTGTATTCTGAGCACCTCTGCAAAAGCAGTGATAATGTGTTAATGTGGTGAAAGTGTTGAATGATGATGAAAGTATTTTCTTTTTGGGGATTTTCTTTCTTTTTTGGGTCACCCTGCCTCGGTGGGAGACGACCAACTTGTTGATATATATATATATATATATATATATATATATATATAATATATATATATATATATATATATATATATATATATATATATATATATATATATATATGTATGTAATATATATGTATATATATATATATATATATATATATATATATATATATATATATATATATATATATATATATATATATATATATATATATATGCAATAAGATTACAGTAAACAGGTGATTTTAAAATATGCAAAGCAACCACTGTGAAAAAGTAGTGAAATTCCAAGCGCTTTCGAAAGCGCTTGGAATTTCACTACTCTTTCACAGTGGTTGCTTTGCATTTATATATATATATATATATATATATATATATATATATATATATATATATATATATATATATATATATATATATATATATATATATATATATATATATATATATATATATATATATATATATATATAATATATACACACAGAATTTACACTAAACCTTGTTTTAAGCTTTAGAGTATTCTTGATGAACAGGTAAATAACAGCTTTGATGACCCTCATGCAGACGATAGTCATTATACCTAACAAACCAACCATTCCTCTTAAAGCAGTACTACTAGTAAAGTTCATGAACACGTGTTTTTGTGTTGCAGATGCTGGAGAAGGAGGAGGTACTGAATGTAATTGTGATGGCGGACTTCGTGGAGGCATGCCAGGTGACAGTGAACCTGCTGGCGCGACGCCGGGCTCAACTCAGAGATTCACTGGCTCTGGTCAAGGGCGGCATGGACGTGAGTACTGATGTTCAGCCACCCACATTTTCCTTCATGGCTGGAGGTCGTGCCTTGGTGCTAGTGAAGGGCTTTTGATTTAAGGGACTGAAGCTATTATCCTCTTTTTTCGATCAAGCCTAATTCTCCAGGTGCTGTATGATCCCATACGGATTTGTTGCTTCCTCATGAATATAATAAAAATTTAGGTACTCATCTAAACGGGCCTCATAGAATACTGACTTTCTCGAAGGTAATATTTTAATATGTCTGACTTTGTAAAAACTGCTTTTGAGTTAAATAATTTTTTTAATAGTTTGATTGCAACACGTCTACAGGTTCTGTGTATAAAAGTGATGTATCATCCTTACGGTTTAGTGCTGCACTTGATTATAATAATATGATAATAATAATAATAGTAATGTGTATATAAGTGATTCTTACCATAAAGATTCATTCTTGCTTATCTTCTACCCATTAAAGAAATGCTCCTTACGCCTCTTGATTCAAGGAATTGAATTTGTTCTCCCCTTGGATCCAACCTGACAGCTCTTACCCCCCTCCCCCCCATTCCACAGGCGCTGTATGAACCTACGGGCTTAGCGCTTTCTCCTAAATACAGTAATTTAATAATCCTACTTCGCTCCCTGATGGAGTACCTGATCATTACTAGTCCGCTTACTAAGAAAAATATTCAAGCATCTCCAAGAAGAAATCCCTCGATTTTTCCCCGAAGCTGTTTTATTTGCTTCGCCGAGGCTATTTGATCTCATAAGTTACAGCAGATGCGGACCCTTGTGCTTGTGTGTGTGTGTGTGTGTGTGTGTGTGTGTGTGTGTGTGTGTGTGTACTCGCCTATTTGTGGTTGCAGGGGTCGAGTCTTAGCTCCTGGCCCCGCCTCTTCACTGGTTGCTACTGGGTCCTCTCTCTCACTGGTCCATGAACTTTATCAAACCTCGTTTTTAAACTATGTATGGTTCCCGCCTCCACTACGTCACTTTCTAGGCTATTCCACTGCCTGACGACTTCCTAACATCTCTTTGACTCATCTGAGTCTTTAACTTCCAATTGTGACCTCTTGTTTCTGTGTCCCCTCGCTGGAACATCCTGTCTTTGTCCACCTTTACTATTCCGCGCAGTATTTTATGTCGTTATCATGTCTCCCCTGACTCTTCTGTCCTCCAGTGTCGTCGGGCCAATTTCCCTTAACCTTTCTTCATAGGACATTCCCCTTAGCTCTGGAACTAACCTTGTCGCAAACCTTTGCACTTTCTCTAATTTCTTGACGTGCTTGATCAAGTGCGGGTTCCAAACAGGTGCTGCATACTCCAGTATGGGCCTGACGTACACGGTGTACAGTGTCTTGAACTAAGGTACCGGAACGCTGTTCTCAGGTTTGCCAGGCGCCCATATGCTGCAGCAGTTATCTGGTTGATGTGTGCTTCCGAAGACATGCTCGGTGTTATACTCACCCCAAGATCTTTCTCCTTGAGCGAGGTTTGCAGTCTTTGACCATCTAGCCTATACTCTGTCTGCGGTCTTCTGTGCCCTTCCCCGATCTTCATGACTTTGCATTTGGCGGGGTTAAATTCGAGAAGCCAGTTGCTGGACCAGGTGTCCAGTCTGTCCAGGTCTCTTTGAAGTCCTGCCTGATCCTCATCTGATTTAATTATCCTCATTAACTTCACATCATCTGCGAACAGGGACACTTCTGAGTCTAACCCTTCCATCATGTCGTTCACGTATACCAAAAATAACACTGGTTCTAGGACCGACCCCTGTGGGACCCCGCTCGTCACAGGTGCCCACTGTTTTACTTCATCACGTATCATGACTCGTTGTTGCCTCCCTGTCAGGTATTCTCTGATCCATTGCAGTGCCCTTCCTGTTATATGCGCCTGATCCTCTAGCTTCTGCACTAATCTCTTGTGAGGAACTGCGTCAAAGGCCTTCTTGCAGTCCAAGAAGATGCAATCAACCCACCCCTCTCTCTCGTGTCTTACTTCTGTTACTTTATCATAAAACTCCAGAAGGTTTGTGACACAGGATTTGCTTTCCATGAATCCGTGCTGGTTGGCATTTATACTCTCGTTCTGTTCCAGGTGCTCCACCACTCTCCTCCTGATAATCTTCTCCATAACTTTGCATACTATACACGTCAGTAACACAGGCCTATAGTTTAGTGCCTCTTTTCTGTCTCCTTTTTTAGAAATGGGAACTACATTTGCCGTCTTCCATACCTTAGGTAGTTACCCAGTTTCCAGGGATGTGTTGAAGATTGTGGTAAGTGGCACACACAGCATATCCGCTCCCTCTCTAAGGACCCACAGGGAGATGTCCGGTCCCATTGCCTTTGAGGTATCGATGTCCCTTAGCAGCTTCTTCACCTCCTCCTCACTTGTATGCATGTCATGCAACACTTGTTGGTATATCCTTGCTGGTGTCCCTCTCTGTTCTGTCCCCCTAGAGGCCTTCCTGTCTCCACTGTAAATACTTCCTTAAATCTCATGTTGAGCTCCTCACATACTTCTTGATCGTTTCTTGTGAGTTCCCCACCTTATCTGTGCATACTTGTTTCTGGCTCTTCTACTAATCTCCTTATTTTCCTGGGTCCTTTGCCTCCTGTATCTTTTCTATTCTCTGGTGCAGTTAGTTTTTGCCTCCCTATACCTTCGGGTAAACCAAGGACTCGCTTTGGTCTTCCTATTATTTCTATTTCCCTTGGGAACAAACCTTTCCTCTGCCTCCTTGCACTTTGTTGTTACATATTCCATCATCTCGTTTACTGATTTTCCTACCAGTTCTCTGTCCCACTGAACCTCCTGCAGGAAGTTCCTCATACCTGTGTAGTCCCCCCTTTTATAGTTTGGCTTTCCCATTCAATTCCTGTTACCTTCTCCACTTGTAACTCTACTATATAATCAAAACTCAGAACCACGTGATCGCTAGCTCCTAGGGGCCTCTCGTAAGTGATGTCCTCAATGTCTGAACTGCTCAGGGTGAACACAAGACGTGTGTGTGTGTGTGTGTGTGTGTGTGTGTGTGTGTGTGTGTGTGTGTGTGTGTGTGTGTGTGTGTGTGTGTGTGTGTGTGTGTGTGTGTGTGTGTGTGTGTGTGTGTGCATGCCTGCGTGCGCGCGCACACATTGATCGATTGATTGATATATGAGATTTGAAAACACTTCATTGTTAATATTTAAAGCCTTGAAATTGTATGCATACTTTGTGCTGTCTAGATGAATGAACTGTTTGATGCAAGTCTGATGATACTTGAGTGCAATGTTTACTCATTTGACCGAGTTGGAGCTTTTGGTCATTTCTCCTCACTGCTATATCATGAAATGAGCAAAGATCACAATATAATAAAAAAAATCATACTACACAGTTTCTAACGGTCTCAGTATGAGTAACGCCCGTCATAATGTAGAAACTGCACGAGACGAGCGGCAACGTAGAGGAACTGAAGGGGGAACTGGGAGAGTTGGAGCCTGAGCTGAAGGCTACACAGGAGGAGGGTCAGCGCCTCACGCACGCCCTCTCTCAGCAGCGAGCCCAGGTTTCCCACATCAGGGACCAGATGATCGCCCAGGAGGAGAAAGTCAAGGTTAGTCAACTAGTTTCCCTGAATCTCTTCACACTCAAACAGCTCGTCAGGTCCCAAAAACCATTCGTCTCATTCAGTCCCATCTAACGCGCTCATACATGCATGCTGCATGTACAGGCCTCTTGCATGTAAAACCTCTTTTACCCCCTCCATCCATCCATTCTTAGGACGACCCCTACCCCTCCTCGCTTCCACTACAGATTCATACATCCTCCAAGTCAACCTGTTTTGCTCCACCCTCTCTAAATGACCAAACCACCTTAATAACCCCTCTTCATCCCTCTGAAGAATACTTTCAGTAACTCCACACCTCCTAATTTCCACACTACGAATTCTCTGCATAATATTTACATCACACATTGCCCTTAGACACGACATCTACACTGCCTCCAGCTTCTTTCTCGCTGCATCGTTTACAACCCATGCTTCACACCCATATTAGAGCGTTGATACCATTATACTCTTGTACATTCCCGTCTTTGCCTCCACGGATAACGTGTTTTGTCTCCACCGATACCTCAATGTACCACTCATCTCTTTTTCTTCATAACTTATATGGTTAACCTCGTCCTTCATAAAATAATCTGCTGACACATCAATTCCCAAATATCTGAGCACATTCACTTCTTCCGTACTCCTTCCTCGAATGTGATATCCATTTTTTCTTTACCTAACTCGTTTGATACCCTCATCACCTTGCTCTTATCTGTGTTCACTTTCAACTTCCTTCTTTTACACACCCTCCCAGTCTCGTCCACTAACGTTTGCAACTTCTCTTTAGAATCTTCCAAAAGCACAACTTCATCAGCAAAAAGTAACTGTGTCAACTCTCATTCTGTATTTGATTCCCCAAGATTTAATCCCACTTCTATAATTTTTACCCCTATAATTTTTACAATCTCTTTTGTCTCCCATCCCTTTATATAAAGGAATTATACACGCTCTCTGCCACTCCGTAGGTACCTTCCCCTCTTTCATACATTTACTGAACAAAAGTACAAACCACTCCAAAACTATATTCCCCCCTGCTTTTAACATTTTTGTCATGATCCTACCAGTTCCAGCTGCTTTACTCCCTTTCATTCTATCTGATGCCTCACGCACCTCCCCCACACTCGCATCCTGCTGAGAGTTTGCTTTAATCCCTATTTTAGGGTTTAATGTATCCGTGATGGTGGCGATCAGTTTACGTCAGCCTTTTCATGTTCCCAACAGGAGAAATGTGAAGCTGTTGGAGCACTGAATGAAGAGATAGTTCAGGAGGTGGGGGAGGCAGTGCCGGGGCTAGAGACGACTGAAAAGGCCATCAAGGCACTGGACAAGAAGGATCTGGTGGAAGTGCGGGTACTCAACAAGCCGCCAGACCTAGTTCTGGCTGTCATGGAACCTATCTGTCTTCTCCTCAACGTCAAGTAAATGGCACCTCCCATTTTATTTTTAATAAAAGCAGAAGCCAAGACACATAGTAAATTTTTAAGAGTAAAATTATCAATCACTGATGATTTTGAGGTATCAGTTGATAGTAACGTCATAGTTATTACCTGATTTTTTATGCTTATGACAAAATGATTGCTAACGTCATGTCTGTCAGAAAGTTACCACCGTCATAGGAATCAAATTATTGCTAACATTATATCAAATGCTTGCTAACATTATATCCATCAAATGAGTGCTAATATATACGTCAAATAATTGCTAACGTATCTGTCAAATGGTTGCTAACGTCATGTCTATCGAGCGCTAACACTATATTCATCAAATGTAATGTGACATTAGAATCTCGATTTTATTATCGACGTCGAAGACATTAAATATTACGACTGAATCGACATCTTATTATGTTTAGAACTGTTAGTCTGTATGTATATAACGTGAGAGGCAAAACCTGGACTGTATGTTACAGGAAGACCCTTTGCTTCACTTCTTGTTAAGTGTTGTGGCAAGGATGAAAAAATAGTATAGTATATGCATTGCGTTTTATACCGAAAAACGATAAAGTCAGTAGGAGAACTTCATGCTAATAGTAGGATTTTTTGAGTATGGGAATGCGTGTTTTGTGAACCATATATATATAAGGTTACCTTCCCTATTGCATGAGATTTGGCCGCATAGACAACGACATTAATCGTAAGAGCGCATTCCTGCCGAAGAAATAAATTTGCCACATCTCTTTTTTCTGTGTTCACCTGGTGTGTTCCTCCATCAGACTGGAGTGGTCAGCAATGAAGACGCTCCTGGGAGACCCAACCATGACCAAGAAGCTCCTAGAGATCGAGAAAGACACCATCTCAGATGCTACCCTTAGGAAACTCAAGAAATACACTGAGAATCCCAAGTTTCTCCCGGAGGAGGTGCTGTAGGCGTGACATAGCGTCTGTCGTTAAGTTTTAATTAATGCATTTATGAAAGAAAACACATGATAATGTCTATATATGATTCATGATCTGTGGCTACACGTCCTGCCAGTATGACTGGGCTTACGGCTTCGTTTTTATAATTAATTACATTTTTGGCATTTGGCACAGGTAGGGAAGGTGTCAAAGCCTTGTCGTCCACTGTGTGCCTGGCTCAAGGCTCTGGAACACTACGCTCAAGTCATTCGCAATGTTGAACCAAAAAAACTAAGGTGAGTATTTGATAATTTACATTTAATGTTTGCTCTTTTATGAACTTCAGTGTCTTTAAATAAACAGTTGAACGTTATACATTGAATACGACGTTGCACTGTATGAATGTAATATTAACTATATCGTTAAAAAATTGTACTATATTGTCTGTTGATTAGACTTGCGGAGTTGGAGCGTGATTTAAGTGGCATTCAGCTGGAGCAGCGTCAGCTCCAGCAGCAGCTGGGCCAGAGCGAACGGGAGCTGAGTGAGCTACAGGCTCGCTATGAGGGTTGTGTATGCCGGCGGCAGCAGTTGGAGGGCAGCATCAAGCGAGCCACGGCCAGGCTGCAGCGCTGTACCAGGCTCACCACCGTCCTCGCTGACGAGGATTCAAGATGGTCAGCAAAGATAAAGGTGTGAAAGTTTACCTGTTTATGAATATTAGAGTTGCTGGGGAGAAATTTGAGATGTATACAGGGATAATGAATGAAGACTGTATTCAATACCGTGGATATTGGGGATATAATGGGTGGGGAGTGCGCTATGGTGACAGCAAAAATTATTGTTAGTGTAGCAAAGGACACTTGTGAACAGTTTAGAACATTTATTATAGGAAACGTTTCGCAATGAATGATGCAGTGTTTCCTTTAATAAATGTCTTGAACTGTTTCAGGTGTCCTTTTCCACGGTTTGTGGGTATCGCCGTACCATTTATAACCAATCATGATTATTACATTTGTAAGGAACTCAGAAACACTAAGGGTCATATAGCCCCTGGGGAATGGGATATAATCAAGTGATTCGAGAGATTATATCCCCAATTCCTCGGATCAAGAGATCTTCGCAAGCATCAAGGCACCCCAACTGAAGTGTGTGGAAGAAACTTTTTAAAGACTGCCTGGCGAGACCTCGTCACCACCCCAGGATCATCGGTAAATGAACCACATGGTCTGCCAGTGCCTCCAGCTTCACTATTAGATTTGAACGTCGGTCATATCTCGTTACAGGTGCTAATGAGCGAGGTTGAGAGCGTGTACGGGGAGTGTACACTAGGGGGCGTGGCCGTGGCTTACTTGGCTTCCCTGCTGCCTCCTCAGAGGGATCGCCTCCTTCACCAGGTCGTCTCCATACTTACTGGCACCGGCATCATCACTCCCAAGAAATATGAGTAAGACCTTTTGTTTACCCTAAAATTGGTGATTGATGCGAGATTTTGTGTATTACGGATGTGTTTAGTTTGTCAATTGTATTGTTAGTCTTTACTGAAGAAATGCACGTTGTAACAAGTCATACCATATAACAGAAGTGAAGAAACTTATACAATGTATAAAGAACAGTCACTGCCTTCACTAATTAAAACACCTAAGCTAATAGAAGGAAAGCTTTAAATTCCTAAATTTTTATCGAGATGCGAAAGCGAAACACATCATAATGTACACCTGAATAAAAGTAATTAGATCCAGATCTGGAAACAGACATAATTTCTTAAAAGAGGGAAATTATCAACACATTCCTAGCTGTCTTGAAGAGGAAAGTTGATACCTTCAAAATATTACCAGCTCTGAATTCATGTGACTAAATTGTTTCTTTAATTGACAGTAGTATATGAAAATTAAATATAAAATTGTAGTACTTCCCCAAGAATGTGAACCGCAACAATCTGCTCATACTCAGGTATATATTTACTGCTAGATGAACATGGGCAACAGTTGAAAGAGATTTGTCATCGTTTCCACTGGCCTGGGATTGAACCCAGGTGCTTAGGTGTTCACTAAGCTACGAGCCATGTCTCTCACGTTTTCGTTTCGTCCCAACCAGTCTGGTGGAGACGCTGAGCACAACTGAGACTCGGGAGTCTTGGGAAGCTGCTGACCTGTACTGCGATCCTGCATGCTTCTTGCAGGCTGCTTTCGTCAAAGCCGCCGCCAGGAGGACCCTGGTTCTGGACCCAGATCATATGGTGAGAGACTGGATCTCCTGGCACTTATATATTGGTCTCAGGTGATATGTATCTTTGCACCATCATAAGGGGACTTTTATAATTAAACTTCATTTATTCATCTTTCGTTATTTGCAGTTTATTGTTATTTTCTTGTTGTCTAATCCTGTTGCTTTAAGATATTCATCAAAGCCTGCATGATTTTTTTTACTTATTTTTTTACATCACTTTCATGTCCGTTTCAGTTTCGGAAGGAAAAAATATAATACAAAATTTATTGACTGAAATACCTGTAGATTTCAGTCCTTTTGACTTACGGACTTATGTAATGTATATATATATATATATATATATATATATATATATATATATATATATATATATATATATATATATAGGTAGTAGGTTGGTAGACAGCAACCACCCAGGGAGGTACTACCGTCCTGCCAAGTGAATGTAAAACAAAAGCCTGTAATTGTTTTACATGATGGTAGGATTGCTGGTGTCTTTTGCCTGTCTCATTAATATGCAAGATTACAGGTATGTCTTGCTACTTCTACTTACACTTAGGTCACACTACACATACATGTACACGTTTATTCTTTATTCTTTGATTTTATCTTAATAGTTCTTGGTCTTACTACTTTTCCTTTTATATCCGTGGGGAAGTGGAATAAGAATCTTTCCTCCGTAAGCCATGCGTATTGTAAAAGTCAACTAAAATGCCGGGAACAATGGGCTAGTAACCCCTTTTCCTGTAAAGATTACTAAAAAGAATAAGAAGAAGAAAATGGTCAAAGTGGGAAGTCTGAATGTGCGTGGATGTTGTGCAAATGATAAGAAAGAGATGATTGTGGATGTTATGAATGAGAAGAAGTTGGATGTCCTGGCTTTAAGTGAAACAAAGCTGAAGGGGGTGGGAGAGTTTCAATGGAGAGGAATAAATGGGATTAGGTCAGGGGTTTCAAATAGAGTTAGAGCTAAAGAAGGAGTAGCAATAATGTTGAAGGATAAGCTATGGCAGGAAAAGAGGGACTATAAATGTATTAATTCAAGGATTATGTGGAGTAAAATAAAGATTGGATGTGAAAAGTGGGTTATAGTAAGCGTGTATGCACCTGGAGAAGAGAGAAGTGTAGAGGAGAGAGAGAGAATTTTGGGAAATGTTGAGTGAATGCGTGGGGAGTTTTGAATCAAGTGTGAGAGTAATGGTGGTTGGGGATTTCAATGCTAAAGTGGGTAAAAATGTTAGGGAGGAAGTAGTAGGTAAATTTGGGGTGCCAGGGGTAAATGTAAATGGGAAGCCTTTAATTGAGCTATGTGTAGAAAGAGATTTGGTAATAAGTAATACATATTTTATGAAAAAGAGGATAAATAAATATACAAGGTATGATGTAGCACGTAATGAAAGTAGTTTGTTAGATTATGTATTGGTGGATAAAAGGTTGATGGGTAGGCTCCAGGATGTACATGTTTATAGAGGGGCAACTGATATATCGGATCATTATTTAGTTGTAGCTACAGTTAGAGTAAGAGGTAGATGGGAAAAGAGGAAGGTGGCAACAACAAGTAAGAGGGAGGAGGAAGTTCGGGGGAGATATAAGCGACTGTTGGCAGAAGGTGGGCTAGTGCAAAGATGAGTAGTGGGGGTGTTGAAGAGGGCAGGAATAGTTTTAAAAATGCAGTATTAGAATGTGGGACAGAAGTTTGTGGTTATAGGAGGGTGGGGGCAGGTGGAAAGAGGAGTGATTGGTGGAATGATGAAGTAAAGGGTGTGATAAAAGAGAAAAAGTTAGCTTATGAGAGGTTTTTACAAAGCAGAAGTGTTATAAGGAAAGCAGAGTATATGGACAGTAAAAGAAAGGTGAAGAGAGTGGTGAGAGAGTGCAAAAGGAGAGCAGATGATAGAGTGGGAGAGGCACTGTCAAGAAATTTTAATGAAAATAAGAAAAATTTTTGGAGTGAGTTAAACAAGTTAAGAAAGCCTAGGGAAAGTATGGATTTGTCAGTTAAAAGCAGAGTAGGGGAGTTAGTAGATGGGGAGAGGGAGGTATTAGGTAGATGGCGAGAATATTTTGAGGAACTTTTAAATGTTGAGGAAGAAAGGGAGGCGGTAATTTCATGCACTGGTCAGGGAGGTATACCATCTTTTAGGAGTGAAGAAGAGCAGAATGTAAGTGTGGGGGAGGTACGTGAGGCATTACGTAGAATGAAAGGGGGTAAAGCAGCTGGAACTGATGGGATCATGACAGAAATGTTAAAAGCAGGGGGGGGATATAGTGTTGGAGTGGTTGGTACTTTTGTTTAATTAATGTATGAAAGAGGGGAAGGTACCTAAGGATTGGCGGAGAGCATGTATAGTCCCTTTATATAAAGGGAAAGGGGACAAAAGAGATTGTAAAAATTATAGAGGAATAAGTTTATTGAGTATACCAGGAAAAGTGTACGGTAGGGTTATAATTGAAACAATTAGAGGTAAGACAGAATGTAGGATTGCGGATGAGCAAGGATGTTTCAGAGTGGGTAGGGGGTGTGTAGATCAAGTGTTTACATTGAAGCATATATGTGAACAGTATTTAGATAAAGGTAGGGAAGTTTTTATTGCATTTATGGATTTAGAAAAGGCATATGATAGAGTGGATAGGGGAGCAATGTGGCAGATGTTGCAAGTATGTGGAATAGGTGGTAAGTTACTAAATGCTGTAAAGAGTTTTTATGAGGATAGTGAGGCTCAGGTTAGGGTGTGTAGAATAGAGGGAGACTACTTCCCGGTAAAAGTAAGTCTTAGACAGGGATGTGTAATGTCACCATGGTTGTTTAATATATTTATAGATGGGGTTGTAAAAGAAGTAAATGCTAGGGTGTTCGGGAGAGGGGTGGGATTAAATTATGGGGAATCAAATTCAAAATGGGAATTAACACAGTTACTTTTTGCTGATGATACTGTGCTTATGGGAGATTCTAAAGAAAAAATGCAAAGGTCAGTGGATGATTTTGGGAATGTGTGTAAAGGTAGAAAGTTGAAAGTGAACATAGAAAAGAGTAAGGTGATGAGGGTATCAAATGATTTAGATAAAGAAAAATTGGATATCAAATTGGGGAGGAGGAGTATGGAAGAAGTGAATGTTTTCAGATACTTGGGAGTTGACGTGTCGGCGGATGGATTTATGAAGGATGAGGTTAATCATAGAATTGATGAGGGAAAAAAGGTGAGTGGTGCATTGAGGTATATGTGGAGTCAAAAAACGTTATCTATGGAGGCAAAGAAGGGAATGTATGAAAGTATAGTAGTACCAACACTCTTATATGGGTGTGAAGCTTGGGCGGTAAATGCAGCAGCGAGGAGACAGTTGGAGGCAGTGGAGATGTCCTGTCTAAGGCAATGTGTGGTGTAAATATTATGCAGAAAATTCGGAGTGTGGAAATTAGGAAAAGGTGTGGCCCGGTGGCCTGGTGGCTAAAGCTCCCGCTTCACACACGGAGGGTCCGGGTTCGATTCCCGGCGGGTGGAAACATTTCGACACGTTTCCTTACACCTGTTGTCCTGTTCACCTAGCAGCAAATAGGTACCTGGGTGTTAGTCGACTGGTGTGGGTCGCATCCTGGGGGACAAGATTAAGGACCCCAATGGAAATAAGTTAGACAATCCTCGATGACGCACTGACTTTCTTGGGTTATCCTGGGTGGCTAACCCTCCGGGGTTAAAAATCCGAACGAAATCTTATCTTATCTTATCTTATCTTAATAAAAGTATTAGTCAGAGGGCAGAAGAGGGGTTGTTGAGGTGGTTTGGTCATTTAGAGAGAATGGATCAAAGTAGAATGACATGGAAAGCATATAAATGTATAGGGGCAGGAAGGCGGGGTAGGGGTCGTCCTCGAAAGGGTTGGAGAGAGGGGGTAAAGGAGGCTTTGTGGGCAAGGCGCTTGGACTTCCAGCAAGCGTGCGTGAGCGTGTTAGATAGGAGTGAATGGAGACGAATGGTACTTGGGACCTGACGATCTGTTGGAGTGTGAGCAGGGTAATATTTAGTGAAGGGATTCAGGGAAACCGGTTATTTTCATATAGTCGGACTTGAGTCCTGGAAATGGGAAGTACAATGCCTGCACTTTAAAGGAGGGGTTTGGGATATTGGCAGTTTGGAGGGATATGTTGTGTATCTTTATACGTATATGCTTCTAAACTGTTGTATTCTGAGCACCTCTGCAAAAACAGTGATAATGTGTGATTGTGGTGAAAGTGTTGAATGACGGCAGGGTGACCCGAAAAGAAAGAAAATCCCCAAAAAGAAAATACTTTCATCATTCAACACTTTCACCTCAATCACACATAATCACTGTTTTTGCAGAGGTGCTCAGAATACAACAGTTTAGAAGCATATACGTATAAAGATACACAACATATCCCTCCAAACTGCTAATATCCCAAAACCCCTCCTTTAGAGTGCAGGCATTGTACTTCCCATTTCCAGGACTCAAGTCCGACTATATAAAAATAACCGGTTTCTCTGAATCCATTCACTAAATATTACCCTGCTCACTCCAACAGATCGTCAGCTCCCAAATACCATTCGTCTCCATTCACTCCTATCGAACACGCTCATGCACGCCTTTTCTGAATAATTATATGCCTCATTATAAATATCTTTACAGTGATATTTACTGTATCTCGGTTATGACTTTGCTTAAGAAAACCTTGTGACAACTTTGAATTATTAACTAGACAAGCTTTGAGTATATTCTCCAGAGTCTATGATCCCATATGTTTAGCACTCCTGTGAATGTAATAATAATAATATACCGACATACTGTTCCTCAAGGTCTTAACAATCAGATATATCAAAGAAATTATCAACTAGCATTACCGAAGACCGAACATTTTTTCCTGGTAATTTAATCCAATATTTAATTCTGAGTCCCGAAAATCTATATAGTATTTGGAAATATAAATCCCTGTATGGAAAGCTAGAGCCGACTTTTGAATTTTGCCACCTGGTAGATTTAGCCTACACTTTTGGGAGGGGTCACCCCAACTC